CCCTAGTCACACCCCCACAGTCCCCTGACCCTGACAGATTGAAGGAGGCCCTTGCATGGAGGGAGAGAGAGGCTGACAGCCAGGACGGTGGGACACAGTGAGGAAGCCCCAGAAGGTCTGCCCCAGCTGGTGGAGAAAGGCCGACACAGAGCTCAGTAGCAGGTTCTGTCACCCCCGCCCCCCACCCCCCACTCTCCCCTGGTGCTCTTGGTGCTGGGGTCTGCAGCCAGGGTCCTGGGCTCTGGGCAGCCTGAGGCTGGGTCTCACGATGGAGTTAGGGGCCCGAGAACATTTATCCCACCCGCAATCCCCCCGGGGGTGCGATCTGGGAGCCTGAACTGAGCAGGATGTGGGAGACAGGCTCCAAGCCCATAAGCGCCCAGAGCTGCCTAAAGACCTCCCTGGTAACTCCATTTCCCTGAGGCTGTGGCCTCTGGAGATATCAGGCGATCTTCTGCCGGTGCCAGGTCGGGGTGGCAGTGAGAACCCGGGAGGCCGGGCAGTGGCATGAAACGGCTGCTATAAATCTCCAACTCTGGGTCCCTCTGCCCTCTCTCCTTGATCTGCCTTCCTGAGGGAGTGGGAGGTGCTGAGAGAAGGGCCCCTGAGGAGGCTAATCCCTCTGGTCACAGCCCCACGGTCCTGCTGGTCTGGCCCTAGATCTGGGCCTTGGCCTCCACCAGCTGTTACCAAATTTTCTTTGTTTGGAGTCTGAGCCAGAGCCTCTGGGGCAGGAGGGAGCCAGGACATGCTGAGCCCTTAATCCAGACATGTGGTTTAATCCAGAAAAGATCAACTCGAGGTTTGGGAGCTGGAGGCATCGCTCAGGAGACGGGCAGCATCTCAGACCCAGCCTGCATAGGCCAATGGGAGGGCTGGGCCAGCCTTCACAGGGGCCCGGGCTTGGCAAACATGGGGCTTGTCCCAGGACCCTGTGCCTATGGAGCAGGAGCCTGAGGGTCAGCGGGCCCCAGGTTTGGTCCTCGCTCTGCCATGACTATGGGCAGGTCCCTGCCACTCTGTGAGCCTCATTTTCCCCAGTGCACATGTGTCTTCATGGGCGAACAATCACCTGTGGATGTAATCATGGTTGAACTGCACGGCACAGGTGGGAAGAGCTGGGAAGTCAGCTGTTGAGGAGGGCTTCCTGGGAGAGGAGGGGGCTTTGGGCTGAACTGTGATGAGAGGGAAGTGGCATCTTGGGCAGGGGGATGGCAACACAAAATAGCCATGTTGTGCCCACAGCACTGGGGCCAGGGGAGAAATGCCATTGTCATGAGAGCCCGGATACAGTCACCATGTCGATCGATCCTTGGTTTTGGTCCAGACCCTGCCACTGACCAGCAAATGAATCCCTTCCCCATATGTGATCTACAAAACTTTCGTATAACATATAGTCCCTTCCAACTCTGATAATCTGGGCTGGGTAGGAGGTGAGCTGAGACATGGGCACCAGCCATTGGGATTGCATGAGGGTGGCAATGGGGAGCCATGGGAGGTTCTTGAGCACAGGGGTGCCTGATGAAGGAGCATCGAAGGGAGATGAGCTTGACAGTGGCGTGGAGTGAGCAGTCAGGAGGTGGGAATGGACTTTGGAGGATCAAGTTGCCCAATCAGGAGGTGGGCAGGACCCTGGGAAAACGGACTGGCCAGCCTCAGAGGGAATGTGGCACAACAAGCACAGCCTTTGCATGTCCAGCTGGGGACTTCTGGCAAGCTGTATTAAGACCTCTGTGCCCCCCTGTCCACATCTATAAAATAGGGCTCCCGAGCCCACGTCCCCTGGGGCTGTGGGTAGTAAAGGAGTGACAGGCGGGAATGCTCTGGGCCTGGGGAAGTGCTCCCTGAGCAGTTCTCTCTTCCAGCCAGAGTCTGGCCCCAGAGCCAGACGCCAGAGTTGCAGGCTGGACACTAAAACCCCCGGCTCCCTGACCAGTAAACCAAGGTCCCCCCGGATCTGGGCTGCGGGGGTCAGAGCATTCCCCTCCACCTCCCCACCTGTGGGCAGTCAGATCTTTCCTCCCACCGCACAATTATTATTTTTCACCAGGGAGGTGTTGGGAGCTGGGACCGAGCCTTGGTTGAGAGCAGGTTCCCTGGCATTTAGGAGCAAGGTGAGGGGGAGCTGAAATGCAGGGTGGGGCGGAGGCGGGAACTCGCCTGGACCAGGAGTCAGAAGACCTGGATCCAAGTCACTTATCTCTGCGCCTTCACTTGCCCATCCACAAAATGGGAATGAGCATAAGGCCCGGTTGCTGCTCTCTGAGGAAGGACAGATGCAAGGGGTGCTCGCTCAGTGAGTCAGGGATGTGTCATCACATCCCAGCCCAGCAAATGCTGCCACCTGCCCCATCCGTTCATCCTCACTGACCCCTCATGCCACCGTGCCCCGAAACAGCAGCTGCCTCCCACCCCACCTGTGGCTGCAGCCACGCAAGCAGGAGCGCCACGAGGGAAGCAAGTTCTTCTGCTTCTCGGAAAAGCTTTCTGTCTCCCTGGCACATGGCCCAGGGTGCTGGCAGAGACTATCCTAACGTGGCAGGCACGGGAGCCCTGGGGACGTGGATGGGGCGGGAGGCAGGAAGGGGCGACGAGGTGCGGGGCTGAGAGGGGCTGTCCAGGGGTGGGGCCTCCTAGGGGGTAGGGCGTGGGCATAGGCCAGGGTGGGGACCCGGGAGCAGAGGGGGCTGTTGGCACGGCCTGGGTAAATAATGTTGGGCCCACAGCACACATGTGTGTTTGCACAGAAGGCCTTGAAATGATTCCAGGCCTGCCCTCTGCCCCCCGCAGCCCCACCCCACCCTGACCTTTCCTTCCTTGTCACTTAAAGGAGCTCTTGAAAGGGAGAGTCGAAATCAAAGGGAACACCCTTCTCTCTTGCTGGCGTTGTCTCCGCCACAGGAAGTGGCACAGCTGCCATGTTAAAGTTGGGACTGTCGGGCACTGCACAAGAGAGGGGACGAGACAGAGCTGGAATTCCACTCGGGCCCCCTTCACCAAACTCTGCTCTCCAGAGAGAAAGATCGCTGTTTTCTGAGATATGTGAAGGTGTGGAATGGGCTAGCTGCAGGCCTAGAGAAGCCAGAAGGGTCTTCCCAGCTGGGTTCTTTCCCTGCGCCCCCTCCAGGGAGGGGTAAATGCCGCTGCACACCGAGGCTAACCGGGCAGCCAGGTCAGTCCCACGGGGGGAGCCACGATGGGCCGGGGAGCCCCCCACTGTCCCGGTGTGGCACAGTACATGTCACCAGTAGAGTCTACCGGTCCTTTGATTAATGCCTCTCCCTCTCACTGGCCCGATGCCTTTCAAGCGGCAATTCTCAAATGTGAGCTTGTGTCAGAATCACCCAAAAGCGGGGCGCCTGCGTGGCTCAGTCGGTTGGGCGGCCGACTTCGACTCAGGTCATGATCTTGCGGTCTGTGGGTTTGAGTCCTGCATCGGGCTCTGTGCTGACAGCTCGGAGCCTGGAGCCTGTTTCAGATTCTGTGTCTCCCTCTCTCTGACCCTCCCCCGTTCATGCTCTCTGTCTCAAAAATAAATAAACGTTAAAAAAAATTAAAAAAAAAGAAAAAAAAATCACCCAAAAGCTGAAACACACTGCCGGGCTTTCCCGGGGCTTCTGACTCGGTCGCTCCGCGGTCGGCCTGAGAATCTGCATTTTTTGCCACGTTCCCAGGTGGCGCCGATGCTGCTGGCCCAGGCACCACGTCGTGAGGAACACGTGGGCCCACGTGAACTTGCCCTTAACGGGTTCGTCTGCTCCTTTCCTTCCTGCTGACTTTCATTAGGAGCGTGTACTTGTTGATAATCTTCCACCTCTGTCCTGAGTCGTGCTGGAGTCCCGGGCCCACAAATCACAGAAATAGCCCAAAAACCCTGGGGTTTTGGTACCTGTACATCTCCTGAGGCCCCTGCCTCACCCGATCCGCCTACTCCAATAGGGGGTGCAGAGAAAAAGGGCCCTCGGCAAAGCAGGGCCTGCATGACCGCTGTGGAAAGAGGCCTCCAGCTCCTGTTTTGAGGCCAAGTGGTAGCCCCCTGGGGGGCCTCGGGGCGGCAGGAAGAGTGGGTGTCTGAGTTTCTGGGGGCCTCCGTCGTTCCCCAGAGCATGCTCCTCCTCCCCTCTCTCCCCCTCCCCACACCCTTCCCCTGCAGGTGGGCACGGCCTCCTCAGGGCACACTCCTCCAGGGCGAGGGGAAAGGAGAGGGCCCTGGGAGCTGGGAGGGGCAGGGGGCAGTACCTTTGGGGAGGAAGAGGTGGGTAGGTACAAGGAACCCAGTCCTGAGCCAGTGTGGCGCCACTCAGTGACTGCCTCAGCACTGTCAATTTGTTCACATCCCCCAAATGGTGGTGGAGGGGAAGAGGGCCCGCCTCCCTGACTTGTGAGTGGCGTCTACCCTGCCACTCCCCACACCTGCTCCTCGCTCCTTCAACCGCCAGGTGAAGGTGATGGTGACCTTCTCCCTTCCCCACCGTCTTTAGGAGAAGAATAAAAGAAAACAAGCTTTGCTCCAGAAAGAGAGATTTGGGTTAGCTCTCAAAAGGAACTTCCTCCACAGGACAGTGGACGGGGGATCTGGGCATGGGCTGGCCTGGGGCCAGAGGCCCGGACGCTGAAGTTTACTTGTCCAGGCCTCAGTGTGCTCATCTACCAAATGGGGCTACTCATGCCTTCTGTTGTGAGGCTTGAATGAGGCCGAGGACCTCAGAAGGGTGTGGTAAGCACACCACGTGGGTAAAGATTTGCTGCTTTCAGCCAGCCTGGCTTTCTTGGGGAAAGCTGTTTACACCTCACTTTCTTTCCCAGCCAGGAGCCTATCTGCCCAGCCCTGTCCTAACTGCCCAATGACCCGGAAGCCCCAACTCTCTCCCTGGCCCAGTGGGCCCCTCATCCCCATAACCAGCTTAGTGGCCCCCACGGGGATGGGGAAGCAGCCAGACCCTGATTGGCCTTCCTCTCTTATTTCTGCAGACACAGCCACCAGCCCAAGCAACGGCGGCATGGGCAGCGCCAGCCCGGGCCTGAGCAGCGTGGCCCCCGGCCGCCTCCTGCTGCCCCCCGACGCTGTGTTGCGCACAGGCGTGGAAAAGGCGGCCGTGGGGGCGGTGGGGCCCGAGAGACGGGACTGGAGCCCCAGCCCGCCTGCCACGCCTGACCAGGGCCTGTCTGCCTTCTACCTCTCCTACTTTGACATGCTGTACCCTGAGGATGGCAACTGGGCCACCAAGGGCCCCGGGGCCAGCTCTCGGGAGGAGCCACCTGAGGAGCCCGAGCAGTGCCCTGTCATCGACAGCCAAGCCCCCGGGGGCAGCCTGGACTTGGCACCGGGGAGTCTGACCCTGGAGGAGCACTCGCTGGAGCAGGTGCAGTCCATGGTGGTGGGCGAGGTGCTTAAGGACATTGAGACAGCCTGTAAGCTGCTCAACATCACCGCAGGTGAGCCTTTCCGCACGTCCCCCTCCGTAAGGCGGGCCGCAAGCAGGGCTGAGGTCGCTGGGGGTGTGGGGGGCCGCGCAAGGTGCACTCTGGCCACCCCTGGCCCGGCCTCAGCAACACCAGGCATGCTGGGGATTCCGCACATACAGTCAGCCCACGGCACACAGCAGCTGGGAGCCTGGGAAGGTTCCTACCCTCTCTGCCCCAACTGCTGGAGGCAATGCAATCAAGCTCTACACCATCTGACCCTCTACCCACCCCCCCAGAGGCGTCTCCACGCTCGCCTCATTTGCTCTGCTCCAGCCACACCTGTTTTTTGCTGTGCCCACGACCCTCACGCCTCAGGACCTTTGCATCTCCTGGTCTCTCAATCCAAAACGTTCTTCCCCCAAAGAGTTCCTCGGTTCACCCCGTGCCTCCTTCAGATCTTGACTCAAATGGCACTGTCTTGATGAGGCTTTCCCTGCCCACACCGCCAACTCTTACTCCTCCTGCTTTATTTCTCTCATCGCATGGACGGTCCGATGCCCTACATATTTTATTTATCCATTTTATTTGCTCTCTGTCTCCCCCACTGGAATGTACACACCCCAAGGGCAGGGATTTTCATCTGTCTGGTTCCCTGCTACATCCCCAGTTTCTAGGATGGCACCTCGCACATAATAGATGCTCAATAAACAGTAACTTCTGAATATGGCAGGCTGTGTTCTAGCACTGGGGAATAGAGTGGGGAACACAACACAAAAGCCCCTTTATCCATTGAGCGGACATTACAGTGAGGGAAACGGATCGTAGATAACTAGATAAATGTGTGTCACTGGTCCGGTGGTGATGAGGGCTCTGATGAGGGGGCATTAGGAGTCCAGGCACACGTGTGTGCCTGGAAGGTGCGGCTGTGGGGCTGATGCTGTGAGTTGAGGGGCTGCGGGGTCTCCAGCCTCCTGTTCCCACATCGTCTCTCCAGCTTTGGGCAGGCCTGACCCATCTCCTGGGTCCCCGGATCCCGGCATTTGAGCATCCCACTCTCGTGCTGCTGTCACACAAAAAGTCTTCAGGCGTCCCTCAGGCCCAGCCCCTCCTCCTCAGAGTCATCCAGGCCCGGCCCCCGCCCCCAACCATCCCTGCGGGTGCCCCATGCCCGTCCTGCCCCTGGAGGTTTCCCCGTTCTGCCTCCTCTCCCACACCGGGCTGGGGAGGGGCCTACCCTCTGAACAATGGAGACAGAAACAAATTGCTTTGACCCTGGGAAAGAAAATGGGTTTATGAAGTGGGGGCAGCCCAGCCTGCAGGTCATCCAGCTAGGGCACCAGCTTAGGCCACAGTGTTCACTTGGAGGCCCCATTGTGACTGTGCCACCAGCCCAGCCTCCACCCACAGGCCCTGCCAGGCTCACCCCAGAGCAGCTCCCCGGGGAACCTAGCCAGTGACTCTCTTCCTAGCCTCTGCGGCCTGGAGAGCCGCATCATGACCGCCCGGTGCCCTGCCATTTATTCACTCAGTGCTCGTGCACTGAGCAGCTAGTACGTACCCGGCCCTTTGTTAGCTGTTGGACAAGAGGCTACAACTCTCTGTGCCTCAGTTTCCTCATCTGTAAAATACGGTGGAGATTAGGATTCGGGTTGCAGGACTAATTCCTGGTTGGGTTATTTTCCCTGGTTCCTTGAAGGGTTTGGGGAAGGCAAGAGGCAGCTGAGAGAGAAGCTCAGGTGTCTCTGGTTTAATGTCACCGCCCCCTCCGGGGAGGGGGCTTCCTGAAAGGCCTTCTGAAGGGACTGGAGGGGTCGGGGGGACCCGAGGTCTGGGTGAGGTGGGGGGTGCAGAGGCCCCAGGCTACCCTGCCCTGAGCCAAGTTTGTTTTTAGGACCCCGGCTCCTCTGCCTCACTCCCCTCTCTTCTTGGGTGCCCCCTCCACAGGGCCCCTCAAGGCCCTCTCTGGCCTGGCCT